CTAATATCTTAGCACGTGCTTACATCAACACAAGATAACCGACTGCTGGCACAGCGCCAGTGTCATACCTGTGACGACGAAAGACCGCTGCACATATCGGCCTATTGTCTGTACCTCGATGACTTTGGATATGATAGTGCGAATTATTCTCAAAAGAATGCCTCCCAAACGCAAGCAAGTGATTCATTTCCGTTCACCTACCATATGATGGAAAGAAAAAATGCCAATACATACAGGCAAAATAGTGGTTGTCGTGAAAAATTGATGACACACTCCTGATTTTACCGGGTTCCTAACCAAAGAATTCACATGGTGGAAACACTCAACGCACTGGCTTGTTTGTGAGTTCAAAGGCATTATCATACAGAGCATCGGGCTACAGTATAGGTGATCGGTCACTCTGCCATACGGCGACTGAAGAAACAGTTGACCAGAAGGAAAGAATATGCGTGTAAAAAGATTCTGTTCACCAGCATCTCAAAAAGCATCCTATCACTATGCTCCGAAGAGAATTGATGAGTTCACAGCACTGGTTTACTGTTACTCCTTACATTTGCAACCACTTGGGAGACGTACCACTCAGTACAGGAGCGTACTGCAGAGCAAAATACTCATGTGGTGATTTTCGCAAGGACTGTGCTACACGGAGCCGAATGACCAAGCGAGACATTCATGTATGGTGTAAACTCTACTGCGGTTGTTAAGTAAATACTATCATTCTATCACCCGTTGGAGAGCCGGCTCGACGAACAATGAAGCTTGTTTAAACTCGAGCAACCCTAGCCCAGGTTCCTTGGCCTATTGAAGTGTTTTAGCCAGTTTCATGTATCTATTCGCCTGATGAGAATTTTTGGAAAAAATTTCTTCTGACTAAAATTCTTACACCATGCTTGATTTGTCTGTAGTAATCGCGATCTGATTTGCAATTGTGTCCCTTTTACTGACTGGTGTTGTCCGTTGACGCTGTTTCAAAAGAGTAAAAGCTTTACCTTAGACGCAAACAACGCCGATTGTTGCGATTTTTGGAAAGTCAAAAGTTCAAAACGAATGCACATTCATGTTCCGTTGCTTGAAGATTAGCTTTATCTGGCAAGCAACCAGAAGATATATTGGCGTTCATTTATTCCACCGCAAAACGCGAGTTAACGGAAGTTGTTGGGCACATTATATCCAATATGGCATCAAGATAAGATAGCGTTTGACGGAAGAGACTGCTGAGTAAATTGCAGTCATATCAGCAGACATCTTTGAATGTAGCTACAGTAAAGTATCTTACAGTAGATTGGTAGGTGCGACATACTTATTATGCATACCGACGCAACATGTTCCAACTAATCCCAAACAGTCGAAACGAGAATCTATAGTAGTATTCGTGAGGTATACATTAATGTGGAAGCTCTAACAGGTAAAAGTATCCTAAAGGTACACCATTACCTGGGGTCAAACTACGGGCAGTGCGAAAGCGTATAAAAAATACAGCTTGCGACTTGGGTGAAATCTAAAACCGAAACAAATCGCGCATGCTGTTGATTCAAAGAAACGCAATCCACGGTTGTATATCACCTGGAAACAAAATAAACTACGATGTTGGCATATTTTGCGCCACACATAGTAAACCAACGGAGGAGTCATTCAAGCGACACAAGCTGTTGGGGAGACACGTATTGCACATACGTATTTTAGAAAACATTCTTAGTGACCGATTTGTTTCCTTCAGCTATCGCTGTTAGTGACCTTTGTTTAAACACACCATGCAACTATTTTTATTGGCTGCTTGTGGTCAATGTTTTTGCTCTCGGATTGAAGTGCCACTTGGCTGCTAACACTCCCTTTACGTTCGTGCGTGCCTCTTATTGGTCCCTTTGTTGATCACTTTTCAATGGTTGCATTTTGATTGCTTGCTTTTAGTAATATGGTTGGCCGAACTGTCTTGTAGTAGCTTCTCTTTAGATCATTCTTGAAGCTCTTATTTCCCGGCATGTCTTTGGAGTTCTTCTTGCGGTCGTGGGGTGAAGGCGTCAGCTGCGACACAACACAAGCTTCTATAAAGGGATAATGCAATCACACCACAATGTCCAGCAGTAGAGCTGTTTAGCAACTTACCCCAAACGCGGTCACTGGCGCCTTCCTTTCTAGCATTGATTGGTTTTTAGTACAACGCAGCTTCCAGTAAGAAGCAGCTCATGATTACTTCATTGACAACGTCGATAGTGGACAGATACGATGCAGTGGACAAGGTATTGTAGTCAAACCTTCGAGTAGTGTTTTCATGCTATCTTGACTGAGACCCATTTACCGATGACGATTATTTTCCAAGAATATATTGATTATGGTTTCACACGGAACTCGCAGACTTGGGGGCACATTGCCACGTCACTAAGTTAGATCAAAACTGACCGATCCATTGACATACCTTTTAAAGCTATTATGGTTCTCGTATTTATCTGGGGCTCCTGGCTTTTTAAAAATTTAGTTAGGGTTTTTCCGCGCTATGCGTCCCAGTGAGTTCATTTCAAAAAAACAGCAGTTAGCACCCCCCCATACAGCAGCAGATTCGATATTTATATTTTCCCGTTTGAAGGTCATGTGATATTCCACGAGTGTAACCGTTATTTGTGGTGTGTTTTAAACCTCGGCTTGATCTTTTCATGCTTCACACATTGATAAATGGCAGCTTCACAAAGTATAAGTCAAACAAGTATCAAAAAACCACAGGTTTGTGTGTTGGCGGAGAAAATAAATCATGGTAGCAAAACTGGTTGTTGTCGAACTTCCACGGATAAACAGCCAGCTATAACAAATAGTTAGCAGCAAGCATACGGCGGAATGAAATAGAAATAGGAAGATAAGTTGACCAGTACCAACACTGGCCAACTGACTGGGACCAATTCAAGAAATTCACTTAACTGAAGTTGCTTACGAACTCCCACGGCACATTTGTACTGATAAAAAACCGTGACTGTAAAAAACCAGACCGTGGCAATAACTGGGGCATTTCCATGACATCACCAGTGCAGAGAGGGCACAAGTCGTGATAGCGGACATCCACGGTACTCCATATATGTGAATCAACACTATGCAATGACGGAAGCCACAGGTATTAATCAAGACCAAAGCTATACAATCGGTTTCCCCCAACAAGTTTATACAATAGCTCATTTATCATGATCTGCACCGCCCAAGCAACTACACAACATGTTTTGGAAATTTTGCAATCCATCTCCCAAGGCAGCAGCAAAAGCAACCAGCAGGTCCTGGTAACGCAATACGTACGCAGCGAATTTCAGAGGTTGTTGTAATTGACTCTGTACCCTTGATATCTAATATTAACCTAGAAGAGAGCACTAACACATGACAGACCCGATCAGGAAGGAGAGTCCTTTTTCCCGACCGCATAGTGTATTACGCATCCTGAGAGTACCACATTGTAATGTTGATCACTTGACTTCCTGCCAGCTTGTTGTTCTCCACCACCTGCCAGGACACGAAAGACCATCCCTAGCAAGACAAGAAAGACTGAAAAAGAAAAAGATAAACTGAAACACTAATAACCGGGGTTGATTGTTCAGCTGTTGATCTGTTCGCGGATCTTGATTAAATGGCTGCATGGCTTTCGCTAGCATGTGAAGTGGCATCGACAGTGTGGTGATGCGAGGCGGGTAATCTCACTGTGTAACGACAACAAGACCTACCTGTTTATTGCAGATGGCAAAATTTTGTTTTGTACATTAGATACACAACCTTAGCCTGCATGCCTCCCATGCCTCAGCCTCTGGCATTCCTTGCATCGCTCAATTCAGTAAGAAGAGGGAAAAAGATGTGCCATCCGTGCCAAAGCTTAAAATTGCACTAAAGTTACTGTTCAAGGGAGATAATGTGAGCCTAATATTTCAACAGCGTTTGAAATCCGCAGCTGGACCAGTGTACCCTGGGGCTCAACCCGTACTGTTATACACATTCTCACACCTTCGGTTAAACCGCAGCTATCTCTGTCTAGCAATCCACACATCGTTTGGAAATTTACGTAGGCGTGACAGCGCCAGTTACAGGTGAGAATCGCGGAGCATATTCCAGCGGGGGTCAGGCATCACGTTTAGAACCTAGGCCCGTCCACCACCCAAGGAGCACAGCAAGGAAGGCAAGTGGTCAACCGTTCAAGACGCCTGCATCATCAACCGCCGGCTGGCAGACAGACACTGTGTTGACCCCACTCATATGTTCAGTACGACGTATGCAGCAAACAACACTTATGGTCTGCGATACGCTGAGGCGGTCGCGATCATACAACTTCACCCTAGTCTGTGTATGCAGAAGGACACTTTCGTCACACTGGCTCTACCCTGGTAGTGAGCCAATAGACAGCTTAATTGACAAAGACGTACATGTGCATGTTGTTGAATTTGCTGTGTTTTGTTGAATTTGCTATCGCAACTTTCATAACTCGTCATGGTTCTATTAATTTTCACGTGTTCTGTAGTATGCACTTGACGATATACAGGGAAATTTGTCCCGGAATTAAATCGTGCGGTGCTTTGGGGTTAGCGTTTTTACTGAAAATTTCGTCGAGAAAGAGTTACTTCAATCACCGTTTATGTTCCAAAGTTGCAAGTGTTTGTGATTGCTAAGAATACACGGAATGATGGCGTCCTCTCACAATCTACTTCTTCGTACTTTTATGTTTGGAAGCATAAGTGAAATGCTTGTTTCAAATCACACAGTGCTATAGATCATTTTTCCGGTGCCCGTGTCCATTAGGTAGGTTAACGAATTGAGGTCTCACCAGATTCACCTAATTTGCAAATGATAGTCGAAAGTACTCCCGACCAGAGCACAGTATGCCATTAGCTCTGCTAGGAACGCCCGCCTCTGACTCTTGAGTCGAATTCTTGGGAATCACTAAATTTTGTGCTCCATATGACAACTATTATAGTTAGTTCCATAAATTAATCAATGTGCGTGTTGTTCATGCATAATATGGTTTCCTATTTTTGCCATTGCAGGATAATCGTTTGGGCGACATTTGTTTCTCATTGCGATATGTCCCAACTTCTGGACGGCTAAACGTAAACATTTTGGAAGCCAAGGGATTGAAAAAAATGGACGTCGGAGGTCTCTCGGGTAAGAGGAAGGCATTTTTGTTTGCACGGTCTCATTTGCAAGCGAAGTTCATCAACCACAATGAATTCTTCCTGTCGCAGTTGTGATAATTAAATAGGGTAAATGACCAAACTGCAACCATTTGCCTGAACGTGTTCCAACCCACATAATATAGGATACGCAAGGTAGCTAGTAAATACCGACCGAAATCGCTGAGCCTATAGGCCAAAGGCAATGATAGAGGAAATTGTGAGACTATTTCTTAAGCGCGAGCGTTGCCTGAATACCACAGCAAACTTGCTCGTTCTCTGGTATTCCGTTGGTGGGTTAGGTGGCTTAATCGCAGAAACACTGGACGAAATAGTTTGTCAGGCTGTGCTTTCTTTTTATGAGTGAATGTGAATTCGTTTTCACAGTGAACGTCCTCCAATTGTTTAGACGTTTGAGATGGAATAGAATGATCGTTGCGAGCTTTACACTAAGTTAGGATCAGTTCGTTATTAGCCCATAGAACCGTGTCTTTCTTAAATGAAAACATCGCTTATCGTCGAAACAATGCTCGATCCTTCCAATAATAACCTGTTAGCTCTATACATTCAGGTGTCACAAATGTTGCTGATCATACCGGCAATTTATAAGTAACTTTCGTGTAACGGTCCCTTCATTCCGAAAATGTGGCTTTGTAGAAGTAACAAACGCTGCATATCTACAATGTTTGGCGTTACCAAAGAGAAGAATGCGTGTAACCACATTCGCCGGATTTGTGAATCCATGAACCGAAAAAGCAGTGAACGTCTGGACGCCAATCCACATTTTCCCGCTCTTGTACACTGGAATGGTCTATGCGATCCGTATTGTGGTCGTAGATGTGAAGCCTAATCAGAGTTCAGGTAGAGTCGAAATAAACGCTTTGGCGTGAAAAATGACTCAAACATTAGTTAGGCGATCATTATTCTGAGTGGCGGGATGAGTTTGGATAGTGGCAGATACTGAAATATTCTGCTCAACATGCTGATCATTTGCCCTCTGTTACAGATCCATACGTGAAGATTTCGCTAATGGCCGGGGGAAAACGGATCAAAAAGAAGAAAACGACCATTAAGAAGTACACGTTAAATCCATACTACAATGAATCATTTACCTTCGATGTACCGTTTGATCAGATACAGGTGAGTGAGAAGAGTTCGTGATCCCGTGCAGTTCGCATGATCACAAATCCTGAGCAAGAGCATCCACACCACCATATGGTAAAGATATTTTGGATGTGAACTATAACTTGCTATCGAATAGATGTCGCTCAGAGATGCGGTAAGAATAATAGCGTACACACTTCAAGGGTATCCGTCAGTCGGCATCGAATGAAGGAAATAAGCAGCGACATCCATGATGTTGACGAAATGGTCAACACACCTTGAGTGTGCGGCTGCTTGAACTTTCTTCCTTTTCCTGGTTGATGTCAAAAGAGCGACCAGTAAGCAAAAAAGCACATTTGCTCCACGGAAACCTAGAGATTGCTCATGAATAGCCGGAGTGATCCATATGCACTATCTGCCTAATAGCATGCAGGAGCTCGGAGACCACATCCCGCAGACGGTGTAGCGTGAATGAGACTTAGTGTAATCGTTTAGGACGATATCGGCAGTTTGAAGTACTGCGTAGTATCGAAAATTATGGACACGTCGGCATCTTTTGGGGAGGATTCGGAAAGTTTATCCTTCCTTAAACTTCCCACACATTCCTTACGCGTATGTAAGGCCCATTTAGAGTGTGCCATCCATGTTTGTTCGTTCTGGCAAAGGCGCAGTCTTGTCGAACTTGAGGCTCGGCAGTGAACGGCGGTTAGGAATGTCATAGGCACGTTCCATCCCATATCTGACTAAAGACTCTTGGAGAGCACAGTGGACGGCGGCGACTAGGAGTAGCCCTACCCGACCCAGACAAACCCAATTATGTTTATCCTCACCTGAAGCGGACACAGCATCAGTCTGATAGGCTGCCAGCTCAAGTTAGCCGCAAAGTGCAGCCGAATTGCACCTCACTGAAATCCTCGCTCGCTCCGAGGTTGGCGGCTGTGGAAGTCGCTGCTAACTTGTGTCATTTCTTAGCCTAAGTCATCCGCGTCTAAAGAAGGGTTTGGTGATTTACTAAGCCATCTGTATCGTAGATATAACCTATCCTCGTCAGAAGATATTAACAAAGGGGAACATTACACACAGTAGATTCTTTAAAAGGTCGAGATTGGCTGACTCAAATTTACTTCTATGCGTACGTAAAGGTGAGTTCATAGATGCGCGGTTTATTCTGCTGGCATTATTTAATTGCGAATCTTACAATCCTTCGGAACTTATTAAGCATTATCATTTTACCCGTAACAGCGCAATGTTACATGGTCCTAAGTGGACTTGAGTTGTTCAGTGGACATTTCAAACTGACCATTTTAGTTTGATGGCAATACGATGAGTGTCTTTCTGAAATAGTGTATAATTTACCGAGAAATCTCCTTTATCTCCCTTCTATGTAGAAAGTTCACCTAATAGTGACGGTGGTGGATTACGATCGAATTGGGACCTCTGAACCCATCGGGCGGGTGGTTTTGGGTTGCAATGCGACCGGAGCAGCACTGCGTCATTGGTCCGACATGCTTGCAAACCCGAGGAGACCGATCGCTCAGTGGCACACACTGCAAGAAATGCCAGAAAAAACCTGAGTATATCGGAGCCAACGCAACCGGCCTCGGGCAATACGCATTGGTCTTCATACCAATTCCTTGAGTTCTTTCACATTCCGCTCCTGATCACGTCAAAATCTAAACGGCTTGGCCTCGCTTCTAACGGCGAATAGTTTTCCTCCGCTTTCACAGATCATCCTTTTGCTTGACTATTCGTTTGGCCGAAATGGATTTGGTTGTGTATATTTATCAAACGCATATTACATGGTGCAATATGAGAGAACCTGTGGTGATGTTTCTTGATACCCCTGGTATTAGACCAATTGTGGACTCATTACAATATGTTCGTGCTGTATAAACGTTCCAGGAAAATGCGCTAAAGTACAGGCATGATACCATCGAATCGGATAAGCTCACCTTGGCGTCGCTGTGGTCGTAACCGGCTGTATTGAAACATACCAAGTCACAGTACGGTTGAATGAGGACAAAATACGTCAGTTTCTTGCAATCCCTGATTGCATTTTGGAGCCATGGGTAGCAAAGGACGTTACGAGTCAGCTGGTAGCAGTTGCCCTAGCGCGATGAGTTAAGTTAACAAACCACCCTTCGTGTTTCTACCACAACGAGCCTCGCAAGGGCCAATTAAAACAAGACGGGTGTTGCTGAGAACGTGTGAATCGTGGAAAAAGCATACTTTTAGTAGTGGTCTCACGTGGCCACTGTAACCTAGCACATTCGACGGGGAACAAATTCGTCAAGTGTAAGTCAAATTGGCCATTAACCTAGAGGGAACTTTTGACTGGAGCCATCTCGTTATTAGTCTGCATACATAACTACGAAGACAGCTGTCCAAGGTGTGCATATTAGAATGCGGCAACCACGTGCCGTTAAAGTTATATCTGTCATCTGCTATTTTGTATGCTGAGAACACACATCCAATCTAAAGATGGGTATGCCGAACACCATAGACGCAGCTTCAGATAGTTATATTGTAACCAATCATGGTAGATCGTCTAACAACAAATTCGTCTCACAGAACATGGTCAATTACATTTTCCTCGACGGTAGGCAATGGAGACAGCAGTACAATGGTGTACCAAGAGTACAAAAGCAATTGCTTATAAAATCCTATAGGATGGCCAAAATGAGAACAAAAATATGGTGAAAAAGAAACAAAAAGATAAAAGGGTAAGCATTTTGGTGGAATCACCATAGTATTCACACAAAGGCATGCAGAAAAGTGCCAATCTCGGTTGTGTAAGTTGATGTGATTGAGCAACGTTCGTCAGATTATATCGTCCCTTGATGTACACAAGCGGTGTAGGCGAGTTAGGGAAACGTAGATGTTTGGCATACACAGATAAAGTGGGCGCAGGAGGATGTTCCATGGCTCACAGGAACAAAGATGGTAGGTTCCGGCGAAATTGTAGACCAGTGGCCCCCAACAATTTTATCGCCGCGGACCGGTCAAAGTCTGATAATTGTACCACGGCCCGTTGAGGGGGAGTTGATTGCTGATATTTTAAACAGTTTTGCGTTAATAATTTTATTGTACTTGTATTTAAACATGCTTTAAAAATAAAATAAAATTACACCAAACAGAAAATAAAGTGATTTAACATGTTAACTCACTAATCAATTAGCACCCTGAGCTTGTTTCTCTGCAACACGACTGTTTCATCTGGGGATAATAGGAGACAATGACACCCGAAGTGTGCTGCTTATGTCCAGTTTCCTCCGTAGTTTTGTTTTGGTTGCTTTCAATGCAGAAACACCCGCTTCACACAGATAGGATGTCGGAAATGGCCCTGGGGATTCAAGTGCTATGGTAGCAATCTGAGGGTAAGGCACCATGACTTTAGGCCAGAACACCGGCAGAGTTCGTGTTGCGAACGTAGTTGTAAGGCCGGCATCATTTACAATCTCCAGCAGTTGATCTTGTATATACGTGCTAGATTTGCCTGGATTGTTGACAACCGGGTCGCGGATCCATTCCTTACCAGTTCGTAAGTCTTTTCTGGGTGGGAAGTAACGCTAGAACTCTCTTAAAAGCAAAGACTGGTGATCGTGTACAAACGGAGAATGAACGTTCAGGTTCAGTTTCACCTGAAATCCCCGCTAAAATTTAAAACCTGTCCCCACAACTCTAAATTGGCTTTAAATGCAGCTACTTTGTCTGCTAACTAGTAAACAGTTGTCATTTTTCTCTGAAGGAACAGAGTGAGTTCAGTGCGCGGGCTGAATATGTCTCACAGGTAAGGCAGTTTTGCATCTCATACGTTGCCACTGCGGTGTGCTGTCGGCAGTGACTTCTTCTTTGAGAGAAAGCCTTGCGATGACTCGCGTGATTCAAATAGTCTGGTTAGCAATTTTCCTCTGGATAACCACCTTATTTCTGTGTACAATAAAAGGCATCTGTCCTCTGCGTCCATCTCCTCAAAAAGCTGCTCAAACAGGCGCGAGGTAAGAGGGTGTGCTTTGATGTGGCTAATAAATTCAACGACATCAATCCATACGTCGTAAAATCCCGGTGACATTTTTCAACTTACCATCATTTCCCTGTAATTGATACCATGCGTAGATTCATTCTCAGTTGCAACCTCCTTAATCCGAGCAGTTAAACCCGACAGTCGTTCGGTCACGGCTGCGGCTCCGTCTGTGCATATGCCACTACAAAAGGACCATTTTAGTTATCCTGATATCTAGCCATCCAGTGCCTTGAACAATTCTGTTCCTGTGGTGATGGTGCTGGTGGTGGTTGGCAAAGCTACTGCACATAACAAATCCTCATGCACATCCTCCTGATAAGGCTATCGCAAATAAACAAGTAGCATTGCCTTGTTGTCAGTATCTGTAGCTTCGTCAACTTGGAGTGCGTGCCACAATGATGTATTAATCGTCTCCAATAAATGCGCTTCAATGTCTTTGGTTATTTTCTCAATTCGCCCAATCACAGTGTTAGCCGACAAAGGCACATGTACAAGCTTTTTAACAGCGACCTCTCATAGAAGTTCACAGCAAAGGTCTTTAGTGGAGGGCAAGATCAATTCTTCACCGATAATGAGTCGGCCGGTAGTCGAGTGGCATGCGCGTCTGGTTTGTAACCATAAGGTCACCGGTTCGAATTCGCCTAGGGGTGGGCTTCTTCGCCATATACTCAGTCCACGCGCGACTGGTGCTGGTCGTGTGTGCAGCAAGGTGTCGTCACGGCATACAGCTGGCGATGTACTTTTACTTAATTACCGATGGTGAATGATTTTTTAGACTTAGCAATTCGGTTAGCCACCAAAATATGACGCTCTTAGTGCACTCTCCTTTATTTATCTAGTGGACCTCGGAAATTTATGTCCTTCGTGTTCCCGATTATTACTTTCAAAATACTCCGTGGGCTTGTCTTTTAATCCAGGGTGCTTGGCGTTCAAGTGGCAGTTTTGAGGGATTCATTGCCTCATTAGAGAGTCTGTCACCGCAAAATCTGCGGAGTAGGGATGGTGGGTGGGAATCACCTATCCCGATAAATTAATATTTCGAGAAGGACTCGTGGTATTGTCTGGTAAAAGTTTTGTTTCTTTGATGTTGAAGGCTCTTCTTCTGTCTCTGCATTAGGCCTTTTCTTTTTCCCAAGGAAACCTTCTAACGATGTCTGTTTCTTACTCATTTTTGCTAATTTGTGGGTTAACTTTGAGGGCTCAAGTGGCCGAGGTGTAACCCAGAAAATAAAACATCGTTAAACTCAGGTAGTAAATTTAGACGAAAAAAGGCAAAGATAAAACAAAATATACGTGTACACCGAACACTGTTAAAAATGAGAATGTACCGGTGAACTGAGAGAAGAGAGATACACAACTCTCCACCAAACCTACAACGCCACTGCCGCTCGTAGCCGCTCTGCTCCCGGTTAACCACTCGTCCATGGGAAGTCTCACAATCCCGAGAAAAATAGACCACGGCAAATAAAATGAAAATAATTTAATGTTTCTTGGGTGTCCCGGTACCATTTGATCAACAGACCGGTACCGGTTCGCGGCCCGTGGGTTGGGAACTACGGTCCTAAATGACTGTATTGCGTGGCCAAATTGAACTGGAGACTCTCAAGTTAGAGCTGTTGCTACGTTGCAATAGGTGTTGACAGACGTGGCTGGGGTTCCTTAAAAGCTGGTAGGGCAGTGTTAGACTGCCAGACAGGCTCCGATACCGGCGGCAGCACAATGAGATTCCCCGACATGAGTTGCTTTGGAAGATGGAGCAACCATTTGAAGTACTTCGTGGCTAATCGCTGTGGAACCTCGAGTGCTGTGAGATTGTTCTTTTGCTAGAGCTGCAAGGCCTGGATTCGTATTCCATATAAGGCCACACGTATGTAGTAACCAACAGCCGACAGAGAGATGGATCAAACCGCTCGAAAGCCTACCATAGCCTAAAGACGTGTTGATTCCAATCCTTCTCATATTGTTCTGAACTTCCCAGATCAGTCAAGGTCAATATCCGAGGTCGCTCTTTTGGGTGACTGCATGCAGCTTATGGTCCCCAGCTTGTATACGATATTCGGTTTGTGACGAATGTGGATGACCTTATATCCGGACGAAGTAAACTGGAGCAGATTGTGAAGTGACCACTCGTATGTTCTGTCATGGTCGCGCGGAATTGCATGATAATGTTATTGGATGGTGATCGCGTGCCACATCTTAAAGTCATCAGCTGAAAGCAAGAAATGCAGTACAATTAGGCGCGTAAACTAGTTAGGGAACGCGAACCACAGACCTGCCGCAGAACTGATCTTTGTCGAACGCCACATTCTACACGAATCCGACCAGATAGTGCACTTCGAACCCCAACTTACAGCTAACGATACTTCAGGAACTTTCTGAGCCACGCAAAGAAAAGATACCAAAATCCGTAGCTTTCGAGACTCCGAAACAGAATGAGATGGTACAGTTGGCCGAAGGCTTTCGATAAATCGAGGAAAATAAGGTCGGTCCCCTTAATTTAGTCGACCGCTTCCACCCAACTACTACGTGTAATCAGTAGGTTTTGGCGGAAACCGTGCTGCTCCGTTGCTATGGTGGTGTTGCAATCCAAATTTTCTACTAAAGCCTCAGCGATGATTGTAGTTACGTTCGTGGATGACATTGGTTCATTTAGCTCACACGCACCGAGTTTGTATTGGTTTGCCGCGTGTCGGTCATTCCATAACTCTTCCCGTCATGCTTTAAAT